TTTTTTTTGCTCACTCGAGCATACCTTTTGGATGATATCCTGCAGGCTGAGCTTATACAACTTCATGATGATACACAGATGGCCGTCCTTTCCGCAAACTCCGTACAATTTGCAGACGTTCGGGCATCTACTTGATGCCTTGTGGAGGACTTCCACCTCCCTCCGGAACTGCTCAGTGACATGTACGCCGTCGAAGCAAGGGAATTTCTTAACGGCGACTTCACGCGACACAAGCTTTCCGCCAGCGGTTTTACTCCAGAGTCTACCAGCCCAGACACCAGCAGTCCTCCCTCCTCCCGCACTTATGAGCCGCACAAACTCGAGCGAGCGTGGATCGACCTCCAGCGCCTGCAGCAATCCAGTGTGGCGCATCTGCTTCTTCACTTGTGCGTACTCCTTGAGCACCTCCCTTTCCGCGACCCCGAGATAGTGTGCAGCCTCGCGTAGGACCTCCTTGACCCCTCCAGGGTCTTCAATGCTGAAGTCATCCATGATTGTAGAAGTCAACTCTACGGTGAGAGAGGGGTTTGTGATACGAGAGGGCTCGCCGGGAGAGTGGGTGCTCACTTGGCTGATAGAGGGGGGATCATCCGAAGCCCCTTCAGCCGTCGCCGTGGTCGCAGTAGAAATCGTAAGAAGCCCACTTCGGGAGAGGCGGGAGACGGACAAGGAAGCCGAGGCATGAGGGGAGGTGCAAGCTGAGGCGAATGGGGAGGAGGAGCCCGCTTCGAGGTCTAGTGCTTCGTCCCCACTGGCAGATTCTCCGTCTGCGCTTCCCAGCGAGGACGTCGGCGACGACGGTTGGAGGTCCGCCTTGTCTGCGTACGGATTGTCCTGGGACGTGGTCGCCTCCACCTCTTCCTCCTTCTTCATCACATTTAGCAGTCTCTCCGATAGCCGCCAGTCCTCTTCGTTTACCTTGTACTTTATATCCAGGAGGTCTTGCCTGAGTCTCTCAAGTTGTTTCCTATTGCTCTCCGCAACTAACATCTGGACCACATGCAGCGAATGGCTTATCTCACAGCTGATGTCGGCAAGTTCCCTCGCGATTCTTGTGCTATGAACCATCCACGTAAATGGCCCACTGTACACACACCGCTTCAGAAGTACCTCTGCTTCTTTCAGAGCCTTCTGCAGATTCTGGATGCAGATGCGAGCGTGCACATCGTCCATCAAGTGCGACCATTGCACATCCCTCATGATCGGGTACAACATCATAAGCAGCCGGCCCAGCTCTCCGCAGTTGCGCCTATTCGCAGCGACAGTCTGCGATAACGAGCTGATGCTCGAGATCAAGCGAGAGAGAGAATATTTGTAATGATTGCCCAAAACGGAAGACGAATCATCGGGGTACGACTGACCCATCGGCAGAGTAAGCGATCGCGTGAGGGACTCCATCTCTTCTCTTTTTCTTCCCCCTGTGGGAGCAAAGGTGGGGGGGTTCACCAACCACACACACACACAAAAAAAAAAAAAAAAAACCTGGGGGCCTCGACCCCCCCCTAAGCCCTATCCGCCCGACTCTGGTTTGACTGAATTCTCTGGTTTCTTTATCTGTTTTCCTCCCTCTTCTTCATCTCCATCTCCCCACACACACACCCCTCTGTTCTTCGTCGATTGACAGCTCTCCCTGTTGAGGCTGTGGGCCGCAGTCTGCCTCTCTCACTCCTCTCCCAACCACCACCAGAGAATAACCTTTTTTTTCCTTTTTTTTTTTTCCGCTTAGCTGCTGCAAACAAGTTGAAACTGTGCTTGGACAACCCTTAGGTCATATACTCAAACTAGGATTTTCAAGAATGAATCTGGCTGTAATTGTGGTCATTGTCATCGACACATAAGTCTCAGCAACTTCCGAAGTGCGAACATGTCCTTCTTTACAAACTTGATGAGACGGTCACACGCGTAGGACTGTGTGAGCTCCAAGTACCCGGTCACAAAAATGGTTTCCGCATTCACATCTCATATCCCCAGCCAGCGCCGAAAAGGGAAAAAGGAGACAAAAAAAAAAAAAAAAAAAAAAAAAAAAAAAAAAAAAGAAAGAGAAAGAAGAAGACAGCGGGAAAAAAAAAAAGAGGGAGGTAAGGAAGAAAAAAAAAACGTTCAGAAAGGGCCAGATAAAACCTTCATCCCAGTTTATCCCTATAAACTGGCCCCTGGACCCACTCCTCCCAGAAAACTGGAAAAGGAGAAGAAGAATAACAAGTTAAAAAAGTAGAAAGAGAAGAGGAGGCCATGAAACTCCCAAGCTTCTGCTGGTGTTCTCCATCGATGAAATCGACACAGACTTGATGGAAGAAGGAAGGAGACAGCTGGAACATCCCTCTATGCCAAAGCACCAGAAAATGCCACATCAGCCTCAGCCTGGTGTATGCTGGCCCAAACCTGAACGAAAAGGAAATGCACCCACACCCACACACGTCGCCACACACACACACACACACACAC